AAAAGGTGTGAGTGGATCATTCAGGCCAGGAGTTCTTACAGCACTAATGGGAGTCAGTGGAGCAGGGAAGACAACACTGATGGATGTCCTAGCTGGAAGAAAAACACGTGGCCACATTGAGGGAAACATTACCATAAATGGGTATCCAAAGAAGCAAGAAACCTTTGTTCGTGTCTCTGGATATTGCGAACAGAATGATATACACTCTCCTCATATGACAGTATATGAATCTCTCATCTACTCTGCTTGGCTTAGGATACCACCTGATGTTGATGCAACAACAAGAAAGGTCACTACTATAATTAACATCATTACCATGTATTTCTTAAAAAATGTTTGGTTACTTTAAACAACAAACCAATGTATACAGATATTTATTGAAGAAGTGATGGAGCTTGTAGAGCTGACATCATTAAGAAATGAACTAGTTGGACTACCTGGTGTTAATGGATTATCTACTGAACAACGAAAGAGATTAACTGTTGCGGTGGAGTTAGTAGCTAACCCATCTATAATATTTATGGATAGTGGTTTCACTATTCATCAACCTAGCATTGACATATTTGAAGCTTTTGATGAGGGGAGGGACAAATGCTTAGATTGTCATAACTTATTACATTGTTGTAGTAAAATTAACATCGTCGATCAAAGAGCAACTATATCTTTAACGTTGTAATTGCAGTTGTTCCTAATGAAGGGAGGAGGGGAAGCGATATATGTCGGTCCTTTAGGGCATCATTGTTGTGATTTGATCAATATTTTGAGGTAAACACCGTGACTATAATATCTTTAGATTAATTCTCATGATATTATTAATTACAGATTCTTTGACATCTTTTCTACAGAAGGTAGAAGGTGTCAGAAAAATCAAAGATGGGTATAATCCTGCAACATGGATGTTGGAGGCGACCTCTTTGGGACAGGAAGAGATACTGGGAGTCAATTTTGCTCAAGTATACAAGCATTCTGGACTATTCCAGTGAGTAAACTTCTTGTTTCTCCTTTAGTTTGTTCCAATTTCACACTGCCAAATATTTCGTAGCCTTGTAACTCCAAATTTCCTTGCAGGAGAAACAAAAACTTGATTAAAGAGCTCAATATACCTCCACCAGGTTCTAGGGATTTAGATTTCTCAAGTCAGTACTCACAGTCTTTCTTCACACAATGCATGGCCTGTCTATGGAAACAGAACGCATCCTATTGGAGGAACCCTCCATACTCTGCAGTGAGACTTTCCTTCACACTGATCATAGCTTTGTTATTTGGAACAATGTTTTGGGATCTCGGAACAAAAAGGTAAATAAATCATAGTACCTTGATAATACTTCCTTATCCTACCATTACATTTCACATTAGACTGATCAGGTTCACAATTCCATTGCAGGAGGAGGCAACAAGATTCATTCAATGCAATGGGTTCCATGTACTCTGCTGTCCTGCTCATCGGATGTCAATAAATGCATCATCTGTACAACCAGTAGTTTCCATTGAAAGAAATGTCTTTTACAGAGAAAGAGCGGCGGGAATGTATTCAGCTTTGCCATATGCATTTGGACAGGTAATTCTCACATAACCCATGTTAGAAATAGAAAAAGACTAGATATTTCATAAGAGTACGCTTCCATATATCTAAACAAATTGGGGAATTAATATGGAATGTCCTAGTAAAAATTAAAAAAAAGTGTTACTTAGATATCAGTCCCACAAATCTTCAACAAAGGAGAAAATAAAGAGAGAATGTACTGCGTAATACATGATGATATGCTACCCAATGTAGAAGGCAGAATATCAAGAGAATATATATTACTACATTTAACAAAACCAATCCCCTTTATGAGAATTTTCAGATAATTCTAAAACTTTACTATTTCATAAACTATCTTCAATTTATTTAGTCATGTTGATCTGTTGATTTTGCAGGTCGCCATTGTGCTTCCATATGTCTTGCTTCAGTCACTAATATATGGTGTCATAGTATATGCCATGATTGGATTTGAATGGACAACTGCAAAGTTCTTTTGGTACATGTTTTTCATGTATTTCACGTTATTATATTTCACCTTTTATGGAATGATGGTCGTAGGTTTGACGCCAAATCAAAACATAGCATCCATAGTTTCCTCTGCAGTTTATTCAATATCGAACATTTTCTCTGGATTTCTCATCCCAAGAACTGTAAGTTCTCACTCTATCCATTTTACTCTTTCTAACTTCAATACAAGGTATAATGATCTAACACTAGTATTTGCTGAGAATTCATGTGTGATGGAGATGGTACTACTGGATTAACCATGTTGCATGGACTTTGTATGGATTGGTTGCTTCACAATTTGGAGATACTCACGATAAACTCGAGGATGGTGAGGTTGTTTCCGAATTCGTAAGTAACTATTTTGGATTTAGGCACAGCTTCTTGGGTATGGTTGCTGTTGTGATTGTTGCATTTCCTCTACTCTTTGCCTTCGTCTTCGGGTTTTCTATACAGCTACTCAACTTTCAGAGAAGATGAAGAGATCAAGTAAAGCTTCTATACACCATATAGTAGTTGTGGATTAGGATTAGAAGGGTGATTAGGATAAATAGATGATCAGAGAATGACAATAAAATTGACTAGAACTAGGAGATGCTTGAGAATTAGACGATGGAAAAGTTAGAAGCAAACCAGAAATATCAGAATAAAACAACAGAAGGTCTTGGATTTAGAATCAGTCAGTGGTCTGGCTCGAAGTTGGTTGATGTTGGAAATATTATAAGCTTTACTTTATACACTATAGCATCCTCTATGTGCTAATTAATCTTATTGAATTATAATCTTGATCTTTTGCCTTCCTTTGCATTATCTCTTTTCAATCTCTTTTGTTGTAGTATTGAGTTTTGAAGAATTATACAATTTCATGTTCATACCTAATAGTCGTCATCATCATGCACTCACTTATTGTAATTTCTAGCAAATTGATAGTAAATGACTCGGATTGATTTATATAAATGCGGACATACTTGACGGTTGAATCCTAAGGTTAACAAATGAAATCATGAAGATTTTTTGTTTCAGTTAGTAAAACTTCTCCGTAGGCTAAGAAGCAATGGAGAACCTCCCTCCCTCTCGTTAACTCAACTTTATCCATCAATTTTACATGATTTATTGGACGATTTAAAGTGTTAATGTAATTTAAAGTTTCAGGACACAAACCAGTGCCAAAGCAACAAGCAATTGACAACTAAAAACAGTTACAAAATATCCTATCTTAGCTTACAAAATATTTAGGAAGACTTCATATGAGACCTGCTTGCACTTGGATTAAGCTGAAAAACAAGGTGAGTTCTTCTGAAGCTGGGATTGGACTCATCCACAACCTAGAGGGATTCAGGTAAAGTTGGGTGAAATCTTGCAGATGGTTAAAGAACTTGGTTATGTTCCTGACACATTGTTATCTTTGCATGATACTGATGAGGAGCAGATTGAGCATAATTTGTAGAATCACAGCGAGAAGCTCGCTTTTGTCTATGGGCTGATGGAGGCTCCAGAAGGAGCAACGATTAGGGTCTTCAAGAATCTCTGAATTTGTGGGGACTGTCATCTAGTATATAATTGGTTAGTAGAGGTGTTGATCGAGAAATAGTGCTCGGAGATCCTTACAGGTTCCATCATTTCAGATGGGGAACTTGTACATGTTCAGATTACTGGTGGTAAATATATAGGTATCAGATAATAGATTTAGATTTCCTCGAGGAGATTTTTCATCATCTAATATGAGAAGTTTAGTAAAATTTGCAATTGTGGAGAAGGAAAACATAGTTTAAGGATATGATTTACCAGAGAAGTTATGGAGCGACTCGACTCTGTGAGCAATTCTTTGATTCTTTTTCCTTTTTTCATTAAATTGTTGACTTTGCTGTGGTGACTGTTTTTTCTAAGGGATAATAAAACCTTTTCTCTATAGCTTTATCATTCGTTGATTTCTTTAAGTTAGTCATGTTTCTATTGTTCTCTTTTTCTCATGTGCTAAACTTTGTCCTCTCGAAAGCGGTGTCATTAACTCTGTTTGCATGTAATTCCCCTTAAAACTTAAATTAACTCTAGATTCTCTCATTTTCCCTTTAGGAATTAGACAGTCATCTTCCTAAATAATTTGTAAGCTAAGATAGGATATCTTGTAAGTGTTTTTAGTTGCCAATTGCTTGTTGTTTTGGTACTGGTTTGTGTCCTGAAAATTTAAATTGCATTAACACTTTAAATCGTCCAATAAATCATGTAAAATTGATGGATACAGTTGAGTTATCGAGAGGGAGGGAGGTTCTTCATTGCTTCTTAACCTACGGAGAAGTTTTGCTAACTGAAACAAAAAATCTTCATGATTTCATCTGTTAACCTTAGGATTCAACCGTCAAGTATGTCCGCATTTATATAAATCAATTCGAGTCATTTGCTATCAATTTGCTAGAAATTACAATAAGTGAGTGCATGATGATGACGACTATTAGGTATGAACATGAAATTGTATAATTCTTCAAAACTCAATACTACAACAAAAGAGATTGAAAAGAGATAATGCAAAGGAAGGCAAAAGATCAATATTATAATTCAATAAGATTAATTAGCACATAGAGGATGCTATAGTGTATAAAGTAAAGCTTATAATATTTCCAACATCAACCAACTTCGAGCCAGGCCACTGACTGATTTTAAATCCAAGACCTTCTGTTGTTTTATTCTGATATTTCTGGTTTGCTTCTAACTTTTCCATCGTCTAATTCTCAAGCATCTCCTAGTTCTAGTCAATTTTGTTGTCCTTCTCTGATCATCTATTTATCCTAATCACCATTCTAATCCTAATCCACAACTACTATATGGTGTATAGAAGCTTTACTTGATCTCTTCATCTTCTCTGAAATTCTAATCCTAATCCACAACTACTATATGGTGTATAGAAGCTTTACTTGATCTCTTCATCTTCTCTGAAAGTTGAGTAGCTGTATAGAAAACCCGAAGATTGTATAGAAGCTTTACTTGATCTCTTCATCTTCTCTGAAAGTTGAGTAGCTGTATAGAAAACCCGAAGATGAAGGCAAAGAGTAGAGGGAATGCAACAATCACAACAGCAACCATACCCAAGAAGCTATGCCTAAATCCAAAATAGTTACTTACGAATTCGGAAACAACCTCGCCATCCTCGAGTTTATCGTGAGTATCTCCAAATTGTGAAGCAATCAATCCATACAAAGTCCACGCAACATGGTTAATCCAGTAGTACCATCTCCACCATACATGAATTCTCTGCAAATACTAGTGTTAGATCATTATACCTTGTATTGGAGTTAGAAAGAGTAAAATGGATAGAGTGAGAACTTATAGTTCTTGGGATGAGAAATCCAGAGAAAAGGTTCGATATTGAATAAACTACAGAGGAAACTATGGATGCTATGTTTTGATTTGGCGTCAAACCTACGACCATCATTCCATAAAAGGTGAAATATAATAACGTGAAGTATATGAAGAACATGTACCAAAAGAACTTTGCAGTTGTCCATTCAAATCCAATCATGACATATACTATGACACCATATATTAGTGACTGAAGCAAGACATGGAAGCACAATGGCGACCTGCAAAATCAACAGATCAACGTGACTAAAGAAATTGATAGTCTATGAAATAGTAAAGTTTTAGAATTATCTGAAAATTCTCATAAAGGGGATTGGTTTTGTTAAATGTAGTAATATATATTCTCTTGATATTTTGCCTTTTACATTGGGTAGCATATCATCATGTATTACGCAGTACATTCTCTCTTTATTTTCTCCTTTGTTGAAGATTTGTGGGACTGATATCTAAGTAACACTTTTTTTTAATCTTTACCGGGACATTCCATATTAATTACCCAATTTGTTTAGATATATGGAAGCGTGCTCTTATGAAATATCTAGTCTTTTTCTATTCCTAACATGGGTTATGTGAGAAATACCTGTCCAAATGCATATGGCAAAGCTGAATACATTCCCGCCACTCTTTCTCTGTAAAAGACATTTCTTTCAATGGAAACTACTGGTTGTACAGATGATGCATTTATTGACATCCGATCAGTAGACTTCATATGAGTTCTCAGTTGAAGTCTACTGATTTGAAAATGAGACCTGCTTGCACTTGGATAAATATGAGTTCTCAGTTGAACTCATAAATTTATTGACATCTCCCCACGTTTCGTTAAATGCATATGCATTTGAGAGGAGAACATAAGCTGAATCATCTGAAGGGGCCAGCTCAAGAAGACAATGAGCAGTTCTCTTTCGGATATCAAAATTCCTCTCCCCGCCCATGGTAAGCTTTTGAGGAAATCATAGCATTCCAAGAAACAATAGTTTTGTTGTCTAATCCATCAAATATAAACCCACTTGAATCGAAATTGCCACACTACGCATACCAAGAACTACGCATACCAAGAAATCAGGGAGCTCTTTACAAACTAATCTGAATCAAATCCCATAGTGATAATGTGAAAATGGAGTGGAATTCCGTACTTCATAAGATCCTTTAGAGCTGAGCAAATACCAAGAACATTCACCATGGTAATGTAATTTGCATTTATTCCAGCTTCTCTCCTCAAGACAAATGCCTGCATTGCTTCTAGATGCTCTTCATTTTCAACATGCCCTCCTATAAGCAAGTCCCATGAGATCAAATCACGCCTTGGGATCACTCGAAATACACATTTGGCTTCACTCATGGCATTGCATTCGCTATACATGGTTATTAAAGAATTACCAAGACGTAAGTTACCAAGGAGGTGGTTGTTGATGATAAAAGGCATGGACTGCTTTGCCACCTAATAGGGCTTCAGGATTAGAACGTGCGCTCAATGCATTTGCAGATGTCACATAATTTGGTTCTTTCTTTGATCAAATCAACTGAAAAGAGAGCTTCAAAGCATCAGTGTCATTTCCACTCCGAATATAGGATGACATCATGGTAATGAATGAAATCACTTTCGTGCATCTCATAGAACACAATCTTGGGAGTCTTCAGAATTTCCTAAAATAGAATACATATTGACAAGCGTATTGCAGATTGAAACAAATGAACCAAGACCACTACTGATGGCAAGAGCACGTAACCCCTTCCCCATTTCAAATGATTCACATTGCTGCACGCACGTATCAGACGGCATAGCATAGTATAATCTTTAAAATTTCGCATTCTAGCAATACACTGCAACGATTCTTTGCACGTTCTCGTGAGAGTAAACCGTTACCATTGAATCCCATGATGTTGTAGCTTTTAGTCTAATTTGATATAATAAACGCTCAGCAACTAATCGCTATCGCAAAAGAATTCTGATTGAAAGCAAACCCCTCTTCTCTCATCTCCCGATGAGCCCTTACTGCTTCTTCTGGAAGCCCGTTCGACGAGCAACCCACCTTCAAATCTGTCCAAGAAGCAACATTCCTCTCGGCATCTCCCCAAAGAATCTCTGAGCATTATCAATTACCCCACGTTCACCTTACGAACGCAATAACGCAGTTCCAACACGACATTACTCGTCAACCCAAGTTTCAAAACCAACCCGTGAACTTCGATACCGTGCCCTACCGCTGAGACCCACTTGTTACACGCAGTCACTATGTTAGCGAGTATGAACCCGTGAGGTTCGAAACCTTGTTCTCTCGCCTTTCTAAACAATTTCATTCCTTTGATCATCAAACCAGCTTTAATACCCCAAGAAATGGCAGTGTTATAAGTAGCAGCATTTCTTTTAGGCATTTCATCGAACATGTTGAGGGCAGCTCATGGGTTGAGAGAATGGCGGATTGAGAGGGAGTGGATTGCTTTGGTGGTGATTGGGTTGGAGATCTCTGAGAAACCCTTTTGAGAGAAGCGAGAGATTTCGGAGGTTGGGTGGTCGGCGAGGATGTGGAGGGCATTGGAGTTGGGTTCTGAGGTGCATGACGAGAGAGGGGGGAGGGTTTGAATAGCCCCTCAAATCTTTCATATTTGCAATCAGTCCCCAAAGTTTTCCTATCAATACTATACTAATAAAATAAAAATCTTGTTGCCTGTTTTTACCACTTGGCAAATTCTACGAACTTTACTATTTAATAAGTAAAATAATTCATTTTTGCACCATCTGATTTTAATATATTACCCTTCACATCTTGGAGGTCTCTATTCTTTTATCTTTCAATTCCATATACATTACTGATTTGGGTTCTCTCTTGCCAGAAATCTCATTTTATCTTCAATCTTTCCCCAAATTCTAATATGCATATACAAGAATATTAATTTAAATCTTGTGCATCGCAACAACTAGTTTGAAATTAATCCTCAAGTCTTTCATATTTAAAATTAGCGCCTCAAATCTTCATATCTTGCAATTAGTCCCCCAAATTAAAGTATTTGAAATTACTATTTCTTACGTATATTATCGAAGTTGTTAACCGCTATAGTGTAGTGATTAATCAAGGACGAGCAATTATCAAATAAATTAATATTAACGTTAACATTCATCAAAATCAAACTCATCAGTAGTTTTAAGTCTAATAAACTTTTCGTAACTAGTACTCCAGAGAAGTTTTCATGATTTGGGTTTGAATTGCACATGGGTATAACTGCTAGTACACGCAAATCTGTTATAGATGAAGGAATATCTCTCAATTTCACCTATCCTTTAAGTAGATGGACAAACTTAAAGATTTAGGAGACTAATACGGAGAACGTTCCTATATACACATCATTATTTAATTTAATGCAGTTTTTCTCTGCATTTCTATTCCTCTATAATAATAATAATAATAATAATGGGAGGAATTTATGCTATAGTAATTTACTGTAACTTTACTGCTGTAGCATTTTTAAAGAAAAAACTGTAGCATAGGCGGAATACTGCAACATTTTAATATATATATTACTGCAGCAGAAGAGATACTATAGCTTTTTAAAAAAAATATTGTAGCATTTAAAAATATATTGCTGTAACATTTTAAAAAATATGTTGTAGCAAATAAAAACGTGATTACTGTAGCGATAAAAAAGGGAAGGTCGTGCTTCGCACGGGGCGCACACTAGTTAAGTATAATAGGAAAATTAGGTTTCAATTTCCATGTCGTCTTAAATTTAATAATAAAAATTTGAAATAGGAACCTTTTATAGTTTCAATTACATTTGTCTTTGATATTTATTTCATGAGGAGACTGAGTATTCATTGTTATTAGAATTTAAGTACAACAAAGATATTTATTATTTTATCATAGGCTTCATGTTAAGTGTATTTTGAAGTGGTGATCAAGACATGATTCATCTCTTGTAATAAATCCACCCCTATAGTTGCATGCAAACTTTTTTGCAAAACTGATCGATAATTTGTTATGGCCTCTCCTATGTTTTCTTTAAGGAGGTCACAACAATCATCCTATCTTAAATATCTTAAACATGTGACGTTCTTGTTGCAGTATGACTGTCGGGCGATGTGGACTCTAATTGTGGCTCCTCCGAGTTTTAACAGTGACTCACATTTCTTTTACGCAATGTATCACTTAGTTAAAATAAATTTTCTGGTATTTTAAAATATTTAACTATTATTTTTAAAAGAGTATCATTTTCTCGATTTTCTACAATTTTTTATGATTTAAAGTCCAAGTTTTATATTTATTTAAATGATTTAGATATTTATAAATTTATTTAGTGCAGTAAAATTTTTTAAAATTTATCCGTAGTGTTATCGATACTATTACATATCATTTTAAATAATATGTTGTATTATTATTATTATTATTACGTATTATTACGTATTATTTCGTATAATACGTTGTATTATTAATTACGTATTATTTGTATAATTTATTATATTATTTTTACTATTGCATATTATCGATTGTACTAGCACAACTGGTACGTTTTATTATGTAGATAATTCTCCCGTAATTATTTGATTTTAAATATAAGTAAATATATTTTTATTAATTATTCTCGTTTAATTGTATAATTTGTTGTATTATTATTACTGTTGCATATTATCTATCATATTAATATAACTAGTACGTTTTAATGCGTAGATAATTTTCACATAATTATTTAATTTATTTCGTAATTAATATTATTTTTAATTATTTTTCAAAACTCTAAATACCCCTTTATATGTATATATATCTCATTCTCCCTCTTCTCTTTTTCACGCCGCCAACCC